CCAGAAGAAAGCAGTGGAACCTCGGTGTGTACTGAATATTGGGATGTACCCTATGATCCTATTAATGAGACTATTTTTGGGTACTCCGAGCAACGCTCACCACTCCTGCTCGAGGTGATCTGCAACGGACAGCGCCTCCAAGCACTCGTGGACAGCGGGGCGTCGCACAGCGTCTATGAAAAAAAGGCAATCGATCGACTCGGAAGTGACATCAAGTCCTCAAGCTTCTCTGCAACGATGGTGGATGGCAGTAAGCTACCTATCTACGGGGAAACACGGTTGCTACTCCAGATTGGACCCCTTCGATGGAAGCCTGCTCTCCCCGTCACAAATATCAAAGGACTCGACGTAATCTTCGGGAGAGACTTTCTTAAAAAGTTCAACCCCGAGATCAACTGGGTTAACCAGACAGCCAACATCAACAACAACGGGAGGAAAATCAGCCTTCCCAAATGGGACGACACGGGAAATATTCCAGTCGAGACACTCGCACGCTTTGAAAAGAACGTCAAACGGACCACGGCGGGATTCATGGCGATAGTCAACGAGGCAGACAACGGAGAGAAGCAGACCCAGGAACTTCCTCCAGCAGTCAAGAAAATTCTTGAAGAGTTCCAGGACGTTCTCCCCGACGATTTACCTGATCAACTACCGCCATACCGGACACATCAACACGAGATCGTAGAAGAGCCGGGGTCCAAGCCAACATTTCGAGCACCATACCGGCTGAGCCCGACAGAGCTTGCCGATATGAAAAAACAAATAGAGTATCTCCTGGAGAAAGGGCTGATTCGACCTTCGACTTCGCCGTACGGAGCTCCAGTTCTCTTCACTCCGAAGCCAGACGGAAGTCTGCGAATGTGCATCGACTACCGAGCCTTGAACAAGCAGACTGTAAAAAATAAATACCCCATACCACGGATCGACGACTTACTCGATCAACTTCGCGGTGCTACGGTATTCTCCAAGCTCGACCTTAGATCGGGAAACTGGCAAATTCGTATGGCGGACAACTCTATCCACAAAACCGCTTTTCGAACTCGGTACGGGTCATACGAGTATCTCGTGATGCCATTCGGACTCACTAACGCACCAGCCACATTTCAGGCGGAAATGAACCACATCCTTCGGCCCCTTCTGGACGAGTGCGTGGTGGTATATTTGGACGATATCCTGATCTACTCGAAAGATATGAAGCAGCACGTTGAGCATCTACGACGGGTGTTTGAAATTCTTCGACGAGAACGCTTCTACGTGAAACTATCCAAGAGCGAGTTTGCGTTGAAAAACGTCCAGTTCCTTGGACATATGGTGAGCGCTCAAGGAGTTCACGTGGATCCTAAGAAGATCGAAGCAGTGCGAACGTGGAAGACCCCTGAGAACGTGAAGGAGTTACAACAGTTCCTTGGATTCGCCAACTACTACAACCGGTTCGTACCAAACTATGCCAAGATTGCCGCACCATTAACGAACCTGTTGAAGAAGAATACACCATATCAATGGGAGGCAAAGCACCAGGAAGCCGTGGAACAACTTAAAACCGCACTCACGTCCGCACCTGTTCTTATCCTGCCAGACACTGAACTTGACTATGTCATCGAGGCCGATGCTAGCGATCAAGCAGTGGGCGCAGTACTCATGCAGGATCAAGGGAAGGGACTGCAACCCATTGCATACCTCAGTAAAAAACTTCACGGGGCAGAACTCAATTACCCCATCCATGACAAAGAGGCCCTCACCATCGTCAACGCATTTAAGGCATGGAGGTGTTATCTCGAAGGAAGAAAAACGACTGTCTACACCGACCACTGCAGCCTCAAGTACCTGAAGACCCAACCAACACTCTCCAGGCGGCAGGTCCGGTGGATTGACTTTCTCGAAACCCACTTCCATTACGACATCGTGTATAAGCCGGGGCACAAGAACAAGGCAGACGCACTGAGTCGCCCTGCACACGTTGCCGCCTTACAAATTGATGGCATGAACCCACTTTTGAAGGGACTCTTCACGCATGGATACACCATCGACCCCGAAGTCTCTGTAGCAGAAAAGCGCCATCTTCTACATTGGGATCAAGACATCGCATACCGCAAGGGCTCCACAAAAATATGGGTACCTAATTACCCTCCCTTACGCCAGTTACTGCTCGAAGAATATCATGATGTTCTCTACGCGGGCCACTTCGGTAGTAACAAGACGCTTGCCGGTATTGCGAAGCATTATTATTGGCCCCACATGGCAGATGACGTACAAAAATTCGTCACCTCGTGCGACACATGCCAACGGATGAAGAGCAGCAAACAGAAGAAAGCAGGATTACTACAGCCTCTTCCAGTCCCTGAACAGCCTTGGCAAGTGGTTAGCCTCGACTTCATCACCGGGTTACCACCTACCAAAGCTGGTTACGACGCCATTCTAGTCGTCATCGACAAATTCTCCAAAATGGGACACTTCATTCCGACACACACAACGGCTCGCATCGAGGAGACAGCGCAAATATTCTTCCGCTACGTCATCTCGCAACATGGCATTCCGACCACGCTGATCTCCGACAGAGACCCGAAATTCACGAGTAAATTCTGGAAGGAGCTCATGTCGCTCATGGGGACCAAACTCGCCATGTCATCAGCCTATCATCCCCAAACGGATGGTCAGACAGAGCGCCTCAACCAGATTGTCGAACAGCTTCTGCGAGCAGCGTGTAAGGACGATATCTCTACATGGGATGCACATCTGCCGGTTCTCGAGTTTGCGTATAACAACGTCACGCACGCCGCAACAGGGCAAACTCCTTTCTTCCTCTGTTACGGTCGCAACCCACTCACGCCTCCGAAACCAACAGTACCCGCCACGGTGCAACCCGCACATGACTTCATTTCCACTATGCACCAATTGTGGGAGCGCACGCACAAACGTCTTCTGACTATCCAGCAGCAACAAAAGAAGCTCGCTGATCGGAGTCGCAACGATCATTCCATCCAGATTGGCGATCAGGTGCTTCTGGATACACGCAATCTCGACATTAGCCATCTTCCGTCTAAGCTCCGACCTCGCTTCTGCGGACCTTTTCTCGTCGAGGCGCAGGTCACTCCAGTAACCTTCCGCTTGCGTTTACCAGCTACCTGGAGAATTCACAATGCCTTCCATGTTCAACTTCTCAAGCCCTATCGGGACCCAAACACGGTCTTCAAAGGTCGCCAGCCGCCGCCGCCACTGCCAGTGATCGTTAATGGGGAACCCGAGTACGAAGTCGAAGCCGTTCTGGCGCTCCGACGACGACGTAGCGGCACCTTGGAGCTCTTGATTCGTTGGAAAGGCTATGATCCTTCCGAGGATACCTGGGTACCTGAACACGACATGGATAACGCCCGCCGTCCTCTATAGGACTACCTTGTCAAGCAGGGTGTTACTTCTACCACCCAGCTTTGAGGGGGGGAAGTGTGAGAGGACGTCCCCGTTATAATATTTTTTCACTATTATATTTTTCCGTTATCCTATTCTCCCTTTTCTCCTCTTTATTTTGGTCTTTATCTCATCTCAATCGGCCTACTATTCTATTTTCTAGAGCCTTCTATTTATTTCTCTTATTTCCTACTTTTCCCACCGACATACCTATTATACGGCACCGACAGCGCCGACAGTGGTGTATACGGTGTAATTTGGGCGTAATCCCAAGTGCCAATAGACTTGCGTGCTTATGCGCACTTGTGATTGTAGTATCGGGAAGGGTGTGTTCCCGAAGGTTCGTTTTATCTCGTTTATCCTTGTACTTTCTGAGTATAAATATGCCTTGTATTCAGTTTTAGTGACAAGTTTCGATTGAGAATTCGATCTTGTGACACCTTTCCTCTCCTCTTCCTCATCCCCTCCTACCTTTTTTCTAGCTACTCTAATCCTCTTGTGAACTTTGGAGACATCTGTGATTGAGTTAAGTTTCCATGGCAGCGTACCCCCTAGTGCGCCGAAATTCATAACTCAAGATATACTCTACATTTTTGTGCGATTCAAATTGGGAATTAGGGCTACATCATATTTGAGTTTGATAAAGTTTGAGCAGTGAACGTTTCGTCGACGGCGTTTCTTGGGAAGTCGACATTTCTGTCCAAAGTTATAAACCAACGATTTTGAGATATTTCGCCCCCTAATCTTCATAGACTCCGTCCTTAGTCTCTAACAAATACACCGACCATAACAAGAGCAGTCGCGACAGCGTTCAATAGCCTAAAGGTCGGCCGCCTGTGTCAGAGGTCTTCTGGTGATCCCCGATTGATCCTAGGGAAGGGTCACAGGCACGTTGGCCTGGGGGGTTATGGGCGCACTCACCCGCTACACAAACAAGCCCTTTTATCCCAGTGGTCTAGTGACTGGGATTCTGACATGGTATCAGAGCGAAGGTCTCGGGTTCGAATCCCAGTGTGTGCACTTTGGGCATCCCAGTGCGGGGGGGTGTCAGAGGTCCACTGGTGATCCCCGATTGATCCTAGGGAAGGGTCACGGGCACGTTGGCCTGGGGGGTTATGGGCGCACTCACTCGCTACACTAACAGCCTGCTTCCCTTTGTGCTGCACCCTTGCCCCCCTATCCCGAATGATCGTCCTCATTTTGGCGTCAATAGGCAAAACGACGCCTCAAGCTTTGAGTTTAGATCCACCGACAGGGCAGTCCCCCCAGAAGGTGAGGGTCTCAATTTTGACATGGGCGATCACTCGTCGTGATCTTTCTCGTACCTGTCCTCAGGCAGTGAGCGCATTACAGCCTCTGACAAAGTTTGAAGAAAGAAAGAGGATTGAACTAGCAAGAATGAGGATACAAATAGCAAACCCTATAAGGGTTGTACTCGCTATAGAGCACCCCACTACAGGCTAGAACATAAGATAATATTCTGACAGCCTCTTGCAGGACCTTCGTCACCGTGTCGGCGACCTCCCCATGGAGGGCACCCGGGATGACGTACGTTGAAGCACCACCTCGATGACACGCTCTTACACCAACACGGGAACTCAAAGGACGCTTCGCGCATAGTGGTTGCCGCCCCCCTTTTCACCGCCCGCGGCCTCCGCCGTGGCATTGGTCTCCGAAAAGCACCACATCGCGCATGCTGTCCCGGCAAAGATCCCAGATAACCGCTCCGGCTTGACGCCCGTGACTTTCGCGGCCCGAGGTGCAAATGCGGCACACAACGCAGCGCATGTGATCATGTCGGTCGCCATCTTGGTCTTCGCGGCCTTCTCGGCTTCGATCGACTCCGAAGGGTTGTAGAACCACAGCGCCGGAAAAAGAGCCTCCGAGAGAGCTGCGCGGTCCTTGGAGATCGTGTTGTACTCCTTGGCCACCTCTTGGAACCTGCGGAACAAAGCAATACGATACACCGTCACCGACCGACCCTCGCGTACCGACTGAAACGAGCACCTAATTGAGCATTCGCCAAGCGTACCTGTCGCGGAAAGCGTTGGCAGCACGGCTCCACATGACCGTCCACATGCCGGCCGGCATCAATTGCGCCACATCCGATTCCGACCTATACTGCTTTATCACATCCTCCTTGGCACCAGCGAACTCGACGAGAATCACGTCACTTACGTAGCCTTCGAAAACAGACACGGCGACCACGTTGCAGTAGCCAGCCTCCGTCTTGTCTATCAACCGGCAAATGTAACGGTTCATTCTACCAAACTTCATCTCCACCACAGCCAGCACCGTATCCTTGTCAACGCAAACGCCTGAACCCTTCTGACCCTGCGGGGCCGCGTTGGCCGTTCCCTTGGAAGAGCCGGCCTTCGCCTTGGTTGCGCTTTTGCTTCCCATCGCATACCTCACCGGTTCTAGGTAGGGGGGGATTTGGCGCCAGTCGCGGAGGCAGAGGCAAGTGCAGACGAGGCGGCTGGTGTACCCTGTTGTATTTCCACAGTGGGAGCTGCTGCCGTTGCGACCCGTTCCTCCCGCATGACCTCGATTTCAGGGTCCGGCATCACGAGACTGGCGATGATTTCAGGGTCCACCCCATCGTCCTTGCACGACGTTCCCCGCAAAGCCATCTCTTCCGTTGCGATGCCCGTCTCAGCAGTCAACGCCGTGACGTCACTGCCTCTGCTCCTTGGTCGACCGCCTGGTTGCTAGGTGCCAGAGGAATTTCTGCAGTTTTCTGTGCCACGAGCCATTTCATGTACTCCTCAAACGATGGGTCCTGAGGGACTAGATTTGCGAGCGCTTGTGGCTCCGGAGGCATAGGGATCGGTTCCACGACAACCATACCGGCCCCAAGAATGGCGGAACTGGCTGCAACCGCAGTAACCATTGTTGGGCGGAGGCGGGTTCGGAAGCAACACAGTCATTTCAACTACGCCGGGGGTCTCGTGGGCAGTACCCGCATTGGGCGGAGCTGGTGCCATCGCCGATGTGGCTGTCTCGACCACACCGCTGGGTAGTACGGGGCGGAAAGAGTTGCCGGCCAATTGTGCCGTGACGTCACTTAGTCGCGCGATACTGGCACTCGCCGGACTCGTCGTGGCGTGGGGATGCTGGCCCGCCTGTGGCTGCACGCCCTACTAGCTGACCACTGCTGCTGTGCGTAAGAGCTCGTCGGCTAGAAGAGCTGTGACGCTTGTGGGTCGCGCGTCATGTGCTGTCGCCGGACTCGTCGATGCATGAAGACGCTGGCCCGCAACAGGCTGCCCACCCTGCTGGCCGACCATCTCTACGGGGCGTAGGAGCTCGACGGCCAGCTGCGCCGTGGCGCCGGCAAGTCGCGCATCTTGTGCAGTCGCCGGACCGGCCTCGAGCTAGAATGCTGGTCCCCCACTGGCTGCCCGCCCTTCTTTTCAACCACGAATGCCCCTTGCAGGAGCTCGATGGCCAATTGCGCCGTGGCGCCGCCCGATCGCACATCTTGTGCATTCCCCGGACTGGCCTCGGGCTGGGGATGGTGGTCCCTCACTGGCTGCCCGCCTTACTTTCCGACCACGGATGCCCCTCCCAGGAGCTCGTCGGCCAGCTTCGCCGTGACGCCGCTCGATCGCGCGTTGTGTGGCCGCTCCGCCACGGGCTGCCCACCGTGCTTCCCGACCACCGAATCTGGACCCTGTCGTAGGTTGGCAACCTGTCAACCATCGACGGGCAGTTGAACTTCGGGCCTGCCTGTTTCAGCAAGTCGTCGACGTTGGGAACACAAATATATGTAGCGCCCAGGGTTGTCACGCCCACACTGTGTTTCACCGCGGGTCCTCTGCTTCGCTTACCGCCGTCGGCCTGCTCGCCTGTTAGGGTATTGTCGTGAGCGACCCTTTTCCCACTGTGCCTTGGCAGCAGCCCTCGCTCTTCGGTGGTTGAGTGACCTCTGTGCATCACCGACGCGAGAGCATTCTGGAGGAAGCTTAACCCGGCAGCACCAAAGCCCTGTTTGTGAGGATCTAGGATCGAGCTCAAAAAAGTGGGTTTGAATTGAACGATTTACCCGGGTACAACACGAGGCTATATATAGTCTCGACACAAGGCCTAGTAACCAGGTGTTACACGAAGGTTCCGAGGGTTGCGAAGCGTCCCGAAAGGAGCCTTCCCGAATTCGGTAGAAGGCAATTCGGTGGCAACCGAAAAGCCTGGAATTCGGTGCACGCAACCTAACTCGGTGCTATAACTATAATAAAATATAGGAAAGCACCTTACCTAGGAAATCAAGCATATCTATGCATGATAAAATTAATCCAAACTAGATATAGCATAATAAATTCTAGGCAAGCTAGCAAAGCAAGCATAAGTCCTCGTACTCTCACACTGTTGGGTCGCGGAGGTGACCGCCTTCACCACGTCGTCCCGAAGCTCTTGGACAGCTTTCGAGTAGATGTGGAGGCGTGGGGGGGGGGGGGGAGGAGGAGGAGGCTGCGTACAACGGCAGCGGTGATCCCCTGTGCCGCGCTCTCCATGACGGCCTTCACCTCAGCAGACACGACGATTTTTATCTTTTCGCCCAAACAATCTGCCACACCTCGCAACAACAGCTCGTCGTCTTCCCGTGGCCTACCCCTCAGACCAGCAGCTGCTACGTGCAAGGCGTCAAATGGGCAGCCACCTCTTGTTCATGTGATGTATGACGAAGGCGCGGCCCTCAATCGCATCCTCGTGACCTGCTTTACAGACTCTACCGCCTCTGTGACGCTCGCCCCCTCCGTCATCTCGAGAGTGGACATGCGTTTAGTGACCGACGAGATCTTCTCGACAGCCATATTAACCACGTAGAATAGCGCGTCCATCCAGGCCATCTAATCGTCCGGCCTCTTCTCCGCCACCAGCTTCTCCTCCCTCAGCTTCTTGTTCTCCCTCTCTGCCGCCTTCAGCTGGTCCATGGCCGCCTTTGACACCATCCTAGTCGTGGTCGAGCCACCGCTCGCGCGCGCCTTCTTGCCCGACCTTGGTCCGCTGCCTCCGCTCTTATCCGCAACCTTCTCACCAGAGAACTGTACACCAGCCTCCTATTCCGCGATGACTATCACGTCGTCGTCCTCATGCACGCCCTCCTCCTCCTCCTCCTCCACGCCCTCCTCTTCCTCCTCCTCCTCCTCCTCCTCCTCCTCCTCCTCCTCCTCCTACTCCTCCTCACCACCATCCTGCTCCCCTCCCTCCTCCTCCTCCTCGTGCTCCTCCTCGCCACCATCTGTGGGTCCGTTCCCGCCCGAGTGCGACCCTGCCAGAGCCTCCTCGACCTCGTGACCCAGAACATTGCCGGTTCCCACACCACGACCCATGGTCGATGCCTCCCGTTTGCTCAGCGCAGCCCTCTCCACATACTGCACCAGCCCCCTCTCAGAGGGACTTCAGCCGATATGTTTCGGGTCATCGACGCTCAGTGGCTCGTAGCTGCCATGCATGTCGTGTGAAAGAATGAGGGATGAATGAACTAGAAAGCAGGTGGGTACAAGTAGGAGAACCTAAAAGAGTTGTACCCCATATTGTCTACCCCACTACAGCCTACACAGACTATAGCATATGAGTTTGACACACCCCCATAGGCAAAGTGGGGAAGAACAAGAGGTCACAAGACCAGTCAAGCAAAGCAAAGCAAGCTCAGGGTGGATCTCAACGTCACCACACAGTCCGAGCACAAGAGCAAGGCCACAAGGCCAGTTCACATGCAAGATCATATATAAAGGTAAACAAGCAAGTGCAGGTATAGAAAGATCACAGTACAAGCAAGGTCAAGAAGTGAGCAAGTGAGGCCAAGTAGGCACAAGACCTAGCATCGAACAAAAGCACTGATGATCACAAGGCGGAAGTGCCTTGGTAAAGATATCAGCAGTGTTAGCCTCAGAGGCCACTTAAGCAAGGCACAGCTGACCACGCTGCTGCAGCTCACGAGCAAGGAAGTAGCGAAGAGCAATGTGCTTCGTTCTGTGCTCCAGTCTGTGCTCCCGACACAAGGCCAGCATGGCCTTGTTGTCTACGTACAGAACTGGAGGAGAACGAGGCGGCTCTCCCAGGTCAGTCAGCAGGTAGGTGAGCCAGCGTAGCTCGTGTGCAGCCATGGCCCCCGCGTAGATCTCAGCCTCACAGCTGGAGCCGAGAACAGAAGACGAGCGGGTAGACCGCCACGAGACAGAGCCGGAACCAAGGCTGAAGGTGTAACCCTGTGACGACCGCTGCTTAGCCTAGTCGTCAGCCCAAGAAGCGTCAGCGTGACCTGTGAGGACCACTCGACATCGCCCTCCAAGCACTAGCCCCATGCACGACGTACTACACAAGTAGCCCAACACCCTCTTCGCTGCAGCCATGTGCTCTGGTCGGTGTCTCCCAGGAGCAACATAGCGTGCCAAGATGCTAAGAGGGTATGCTAGGTCAGGTCGTGTGCAGGTTATCAGGTACATGAGGCAGCCAACAAGCTCTGGGTACAGGCCACTCGGCTCTACGGACTCATCCGAAGGCAGAGCTAAGAGCGAGTGGCGAGTAGACAGAGGAGTGGCCTGAGGCGAGGAGTACGTGAAGCCAAAGCGCTGAAGGACCTGCTGCACCATGTGTAACTGAGTCACGGTAATGGTGCGCTGTGCTCTGTCCCGGGTGATCTGCAAGCCAAGGTAGCTGCGCAGCTCACCCAGGTGTGTGCACGTGTGTCTCTTCTGCAGCTCGGACTTCACGTGGGCGAGTTCAGCAGTGTCAGCAGTAGCAAAGACCAAGTCGTCGACGTACACGAGGATGTAGAACGGCGGCAAAGAGGTGTCGGTGCGCAGAAACACCGACGGGTCGGCTGTAGAAGGAGCAAACCCAAGAGCCGCAAGTGTAGTCCTCAGTGTGTCGTGCCACTCATGGGGCGCCTGGCGGAGACCGTAGACTGGCCGTCGGAGGCTCTACTGGGTACCAGGAGGAAACGACCCAGTGAAGCCAGGTGGGCGGCGCAGCCAGATCTCCTCGTGCAGGCTGCCCTGCAAGAAAGCTGTGCTGAAGTCAAGAGAGTGAAGCTCGTAGTCACGCTGAGCGGCTATGTGCAGCAGCACCCGAAGAGTGGTCATCTTCGGGGTGGGAGAGAAGGTCTGAAAGTAGTCAACTCCCTGCCGCTGACTAAAGCCTCCAGCCACGTAACGCGCCTTGAAGACAGGCGGAGAACCCGGCGGCCGCTTCACCCTAAAAATCCACATGCCACTGACGATGTTCGCCCCAGGTGGGGGAACCTCGTCGACGTAGGTGCCTGTGGACTTCCAGGAAGCCATCTCTGCGTCCATGGCTGACTTCCACTGAGAGGAGTAGGGACCCTCGATCGCCTCAGCGTACGATCGAGGAGTCGGGATGTCTGGTGCATCCGGGTCTCCCTCAGGGGCAATCAGCGT